GGCACTCTCCTCCCACTGACACGGCAGCCGGAGCCACCACGGCCGCCCACCGACACGCCGGTGCCAGCGGGATGAGGGCAGGGCAGTGGGGCTGCTCCGGCAGCCAAGGTAGTGGGTGGCCACTGGTCCCTCATGCTAGTGGGAGCCACAGCCATGGTGGGCGCTCAGGGTGGGCAGCACTGGACCTGGGGGACACCTACCCTGAGGAAGGGCACGATCCCATCCCTGGAGATGGCTTGCAGGAGGCGGGGGGCTCCCGTGAGGCTCTGCAGCCCAGCCCCACAGGTGGAGAAGAAGGAGCCGATGACAATGACCCACGGGGACGGCCATGCCAGGGTGCCAACCACCAGGTTCCCGTTGACAGCCTCACCAAACCTGCGGGGCACCAGCATCACCTGTGGCTCTGTCCCGTGACTGAGCCCTGAAAGCACCAGCACCACAGCAGCACAACCCAGCCCCCCACAACGACACCACCTTGAGAGGATGTGACAGGACCCAGGAAGGGCCCACCCCCCATGAGGGGCAAGCAAGGGAGCGGGATCTGAAGTCACCAGGGGCCTGCCCCCATCCCTGTAAGGGACAAGGGGAGGTGTGGAACAGGACTCCCTGTCCCTTTGCCAGAGGAGGCTGATGATGCTGCATGCAGTTGGATCATGTTTGTGTTGGTGCTGGCGACCCAGAAGTGTCACCTGCAGCGTGAGGCGAGCGGGGCTGCCCCAGATAGGCAGGAGCACGAGCACGGGCAGCCCTGGCTGTTGACAAACAAGCGGCTGCCTGCAGCCCCAGAGCAGGAGGAATGCAGCAAAATGTGGGGGGGCAGGGCACACACAAGCCCCCAGTGCCTATTATAAGATCGAGTCCCAGCTCGAGACACCCACAAACCCTCCAGTGCCACTGCATCTGCCCAGTCTGCCCTAGTTGCAAGCTCCCCCATACCCCCACCTGCCCCCAGGGCTGCCCCTGCCCCAGCCCATTCCTGGGGGCTGCCAGCCTCCCTTCATGCCCCCCGTGGCCCCGGGACACTCACTTGTCACGCAGGACGACCCCCTCGATGCACGCTCCGAAGAGGACTACGGAGCTGATATCTGCCAGGCGGTCAAGGAGAGCCAGGAGGGTGTGGAGTCCTGCCTGCCTGCCTGCCTGCCCACCTGCCCAGTGTGGCACTGGGACCCCGCCCCAGCCCTGCAGAGCCAGCCCACCCACCCTCAGCCCCACAGCCCAGCCTCAAGCCCTGAAGGATACAGACAGCAGAGGTGGTGGCGATGGCCAGGATGGTGCCCGTGGGGATGGACTTCTGGGCATCCCGCAGGTCTCCAGAGCGGTTGGAGCCAGCCATGATGCCTGAGGAAAGAGGAGATGGTGACAGGGGGAGCAGAGCTACAGCCCACAGC